CGAAAATGCGCTGTACAAATTGAAATTGAATTGAAATTGAATTGAAATTGAATTGAAATTGAATTGAAATTGAATTGAAATTGAACAATGCTGCCTTTCTCAGCATTGTCCAAGGGTAACAGGTAGCATTGTGGTTTAGGGCCTGGACAACAGAAGCCCATCGAAAGGACCTTTAATGTACCCTGAAGTGCTCCAATGACAGAGTCACCTAAATGACAGCACATGATGGAAAACAACTTCAGATCAAAGCATCAACTATGAAATTAAACAGAGAACGGGCTCTGATTAAAAACTATCACCAAATCATGATATACTAGCTACAGACCAAAAATCGATACATTATTTACATTTAGTAGTTAAGACCTTTATATAGACAGTACAAAGGGTCGTTTCAAAACCAAATAGGACATTTTTTAAAGAGCTGTGTAACAGTGCTCCATACAGTGAGCATTTAGTCACATTTTCTTCTGCCAACAGGACCATTTATTTGCATTTTGTAACCATTTTTGGAGATAGTGTGACTCAATTTTCATCCAGCCATTGTTTCATTCATTCAGCTTTATGTTTCTCCTGGTATTAAGCTGCATTATGGATAAAATCCGACTTATTTAAGTATCACATCCAAGATTCATAGTGAGGTTGTTAACCTTAATTATCTTGAAACACCGTGTTCTTGTTTGAATAAATTATAGAAATGACATAACTGTTTCAAGTAACTTTTGTTGTAAAAGCTGAACTCTTCAAAGAGAATACATGCAGTGTTTTGTTACTGAAATATTTTGACAATTTTTTTTTTTACCATATTATAATTGGAACCAAGAATCGATGATAACTAGATTGGATGAGAAGAATCAGAATCAGATTTGGAATGGATAAAATCTAAACAATACCTCACCCTATTGGTGTGTGTGAGGGAGACAGAGAGTGATTCGAATGGAGAGCTCACGCGAGGCTGTTTTCATCATAACAAAGCAGGTTGGGGATGATTCTCCGCACGATGTCATCTACCTGTGTCCGGGCCATAAGTACTCTTGATCTCACTTAGCCCTTTGGTGACAATGAAACAAAACTCAGTGTTTATCTTTAAAAAAAGCACAGTTTAACTTTTCTTTTAAAGCACTACTTCAGTCTGTGACTTTAAAACATCACAAGATGGGAAAAATATGAATATGTTGGTTTGCACATTGATTTAAGTGGTGCACCTAAACTTCTGTAAGCAGCACCAGAGCTACTAGTGGAAAAAGTTAGTCTGGAGCCCTGTTTGAATAAAAAATATATTTTATATTCCTGTTCAGTAGGGGAAAGAACTTCCATAATATTAACACAAAACAAATTAAAGTTTTTTTCTGTCCCCTGTAGGTCCAGGATACCCCATTATATTCCATAGAATTGAAGAGCAATGAAAAGGTTTATTTCCAAAACCAAAATTAGCATAATGAGAGACTTTCAACCAAAGTACATTAATAGGCAGGTAAAGAAACTGGGATATATAATCTAATTGTCTTTTGTGATTAAATTTCCTCATATGTTAAGAAAATCATTAAACAGGTGAAAAGAAAATCCAATTTATTTTAAAGGTTGACAATAAAGCTGAATGGGTAGTGAGAAAATGAAAGGATTCAAAAACAGACTGCCTTGGGTCAGCAGAGACTAAAGGAGGTCTTTGTATTATTCTTTTGAAAGTTTCTATCCATAGAAATACAAATCTAAAGCCTTTTAGCCCACATTGATCAGTAAATCTGACAACAGGGCTTCTCCAAATTGCAACGGCTGTATGGAATTTCAGGAAAAATACATATTATCCAACAGTGTCCCAAGTCCTAGTGCTTCTAATCATCAAATAATCATTAAACAGGGTCATGTTATAGTCTTTTGTTTAAAAGCAATGCCATATGTTTAATAAAAAATGTGCCATTCAAAAATGTTAAAGAAGCTTCCCCAACTTAACAAGTAATCATTTGTTTTAAAGAGGTTTTTTTCTCAGCCACAGGTCACAAAATCAGGAAGTTACCAAACTGACGTAAACCAAATTAAATGTACCATTTCTGAATGTCACGCACAAGCAAGCCTGAGGGAAGAGTGAACTTCCTCCATGCTAAACTCTCTTTGGGGAGGGCTCACGGAGGCTGGGTGATTAGGGATGAGCAGGGTGACAAATACAGGCCACTATGTCCCACCTGAAGGCCAGCGTAAAAGGACTTAATCAGAAGTGCTCAACACAATTTAGTTTTGGTTAAGGGGGGTGGGCTCTGTGAACTCCCTCAGATACGATCCCACTAGCTTCGTTGCGGCCACAAATATGACACCAGCATAATTCACAGTATATATTGAGAGAAGAGAGATTGGTTTATTGTCAATACAACAATATACACAGTATACAGTGTACTGAAATGTTGTTCCACATAGGTTCTCCATGGTGCATTATAGATATAAAATATACCAACAAATATAAAACAGAAATTTCACATAAATAATAAATCTAACTAAATTTTTATGAATAGAAACGAAAACGAACTAGTACTAATACAAGTCAATACAAAATTTGAGCAAATATTCAATTGAGGTGTGCAAATAAGCATAGTGTGAAAGTCCAGTTTGTAGTGTTTCTGTGTTGTGGGTTTAACATTCCTTTGGTGGCAGTGAGTTGGGAGCTCTGACTGCTCGAGGAAAAAAGCTTTTGCAGTGTCTGGCAGTTACAGTTTTGATGCTGCGGAACCGTCTATCAGACAGAAGGAGAGAGAACAGTGCATATGAGGGATGGAAAGTGTCCTTCACTATGTTGTTCGCACGACGGATGATGTGCTTTTCGTACAGGTGGGAGATGGCTGGTAGAGGGACCGCGATGATACTCTCTGCTGTCCTCACTATCCGCTACAGGGACTTCTTTTCAGCGGCAGTGCCGTTTCCATATTTCCATATTAAATATTGTATTTATATAATAACAGTAAACAGTGTTGCTCTCGTTACTGTAAACCGTATATTTGCAGACCTGGTCAAAACTGCTATTTAGCTCCGTATTATTACCGCGTCAGCGACACGGAAGAGCTAAAATGCGCCGCATACCTGCCTAGAACTTCGCCTGCCTTTTGCCTTTCCAGGAGCAGGCGGGCTGTTATGTCTACTGTGCGACAGTATATTAAGGTAGACGGTAAAAGGCGACAAAACAAAAGATTAATGATACTTGTACCCTCTACTCTGACTAATCCCACCATTGTTCCTTCTCCTCTTCGGAGAAAGCAGCCACCAGATTTGCTAGTTCCGCGACGATATACTCCAATTAAAAGAAACGCCGGGCGTGCGTGGCCTATTACGTACGACGCACGGATTAGCGTGCGTCACTGGGCGTGTCACTGCCCGAGCGGACTTATTTATACTATCCTTGAGCGTTTGGATGGAATTTTAGATACTATATGTTTGTTTGTTTTTTATAAATAAGTAAATGCGTACATCGTTCGCATTACGTTGGGAGTTGTACGCTACTCTGTACTTTCTAACGAATGTAGGTCGAGCGTCTGTACGCTTCGTCTTTCGATGAATAGCTTCTGATATTGTAATATGTGGAGCCGTGCGCTTTATCATGAAATCTGGATGTGATTGACAAATATACTTCATGTATGTTATGCCACAGGGACGTGACTCGAGAAAAACCACAAAACTTTACATTAAAAAACACAAAAAAAAATCTGCAATGATATAGCCAAAAAACTACGCATTAGAACATAGGCCTCACATTTAAAAAAAACATACTGTTTATTTCATATATTATTTTACAAATAAAGAAAAGTGATATTTATTTAATTAGTTTAGTATTTTATGCAGGTTATCTATTATTAACGCTGCTACCTTGGACTGTTGTTTTGCAATTGTCACTTTGTTGACACACTGCGGCCGCTTTATTATGTATATTGTGATCTTATTTATTATTGCAAACCCTGTCTTGTGTTATTATTTACAGTTTATTTATTGTTTCCGTAACTGTCCTTTGCCATGTGTCCTTGTTTGTTTGTTTATTGATGCAGCTATTGGGAGCGAGCCAAACATGTTGTCATTGTATGTACATTGGTGCAATGACAATGAAGAATTCTGATTCTGATAAACATTTAACTAAGGTCAGCACTACATTTCATCTCTGTAAGACCTGCTAACAGACTTAACTGATAATATCTAGGGCTGAAAAGGGAAAAGAATTACATTTAAATTAATGGAAACACATAAAGATCATTAACCATCTGACAATATTACAGTGGTGAATCGCTATGAAAACAGATATTAAATGTATTAATATAAGACATTTACCAATCGTGCCCATTGTAACAGACACATTAAACTTCTACAGGTGTACTATTTTTAATTTAAAAGCTCATTTTACCTAAGCAATTAAAATAAATCTACCACTTTGCTTTTCTGAACAGGGTACTGAACATGAATTACTTCTGTGCAATATCCAGCTGTACAAATGGGTGAAAATTGAAAGCGGCATTAAACAAATGTAAAAGCTTAATGTCAAAGGTAAAAGGGGGTGTGTGTTTATCACATTTTACTAGCGCTCCCATGTGTTAAAGCGCCGTGCTCTTGGTGCGTCAGCATCCTTAATCTGTAAACATTCATCCAGAATTGATTTTAGATCTGACCGCATTGTCAGCTTAGGAGATGTGTCTTAATTAAGTTTCTTTCCGGCATGATGTGACTGAGCTTACGCCACCCGCTGTCATGGGCAGGAGTTTGCCCCTGGTGACCAGGCTTGCGTCTAATGTAAAACCCAGATAGCAGCCGCTGGGGTTTGGTGGTCAAGGCACTGTAGCCCACGTGGATAGGGACAGGAAATATGCTTCGACATCCCCCTCAGAATCTCCCAGGACACTGCGCTGACCCCTCTGCCGCTGTGCTACACTATTTACTCTGTTTCCCCAAAAATAAAAACAAAGCCATATGCCCTGCGCTGGTTGGGGATGTTTCTCTATTTCAGTGCTTCCCCAAGCGCAGACTGCCAGAAGGCTTTTGTGTTTGAGGCAACGAGAGAATACCCCGCCCCCGTGACCGGATCCGCGTGCGCGCTGACGACACGCGCAGAGGCCCCCCTCCCCATCTCCCCTCCGCGAAGAGGAAACCGCTACGCAGCTGAGCCGCCGCCGATGGGAGCCCCGAGCCACGTACCTCGCACGTCCCGGCTCGGTCCCGGTCACCGCCCAGCACCGCCGCTTCATCGCCATGCCCGGGATTAGATAACCCGCCGCACGCCGATTGCTGGGATCCCTTTTTATTTATTATTTCGGAGGGGGAAGATGGAGAAGCAACGGGTATTGTCATCCCAGCTTCTGGTGAAGAACAGGGTGTTTGAAGTGGCCTTAGATGGCGATCTGCTTTCCTGGAGGGAGTTGGTGCGAAGGACGCGCATCTCTGGGGGCGTCAGGGACGCCTTGAGAGCCGGTGAGTGCGAGCAGAGCCCGAGGCCAACCGGCGTTTTTTTATCCCTTCGGTTGAGGGGCTCGGCCGCCTGTAGCCAACCGCCGCAACCTCGCTTTCGATACCGGTACCACCAGAGCCCTGTACCGCTCATCGTGCTGCGAGCTCTCGGTGTCAGCGCCCGGAAAATATTTTTAACGATATAATGAGTCTAATATTGTAGTGAGTTTTGTTATACAAAGTCACAGACTGCGATTCTCGATTAAGTCGATGGGGGGCGCAGTCCCTTTAAATGTACGGAAAGTGTTAAGACTTTGAGAGCGAATAAAGCCAAACAAAAGAGGACAGGATGGTGTTTAAAGATGGTGCGTTATGGTCCTACCAGCAGGATGATGTTCGTTTTCTTAAGGGAGACTAATGAATATCTAGCAGAGGTATCAGAGGTGCAGTGTGACAGGTAGGGTTACACTGTGCACGTCTGCATGTTCTCTGATATCTGCAGTCTCCACTGCCGGATCAGATGCAGGGTCTTCATGGCTGATATAATGTTTGCCTCTTCTTTTTATCTCCTCTTATCCTATCTAACTTGGACAGTGTCAATAATAGCATGCCGTGCATTAATAGAGGAAGCTTCTGACTTTTTCAGAAACACTGCACATCTTTGTTGTTAATAAATGTTTTGTAAAATTAACTCACTTGTCCTTGAAGAGGTGACTTAGTTATCCAAAAACAACATTCACGTCACATTAATGCAAGTCACCACCTAATATTAAACTTGTGTACATAGAATGCGCCATATTTGGTGTAACTATAGGTAATTCACTGCGAGCCTGCAAAAATAGCGTAATAAGCCTTATGTTGAGTCTCAGCAAAACGCCAGGATATTAGTGGCCTTTTCTGTCACCGTTAGTCAGGAAAGCCAGCTGCTTACGGCTTGTAGACTGAGCAGAAAATGCTGCTTGATGTCGTCTGAGCCCAGCTCCCACAATGCAGAGCGTCCGTCCTCCACTTCAAAGACGAATGGTCGACCTTCATTTTTAAACACTAACCACTTTAGAAGTCCAGGTAAACCGCATAATCTGAAAACTGTGTAAACAACCTGTGCCTGGACTGCCGTTTCTCACGGAGGGCTGTTTATCCTCTGTCACAGGTGGGGGAAATGTAAGCAAGATAAAGAGATTAGCGTCTGTGTTTAAACTAGACGCCTGAATTTAAGAAAGGACCTGCATCGTCAAGGATTGTTTTAAGCAGAGTTGGACTTTGGATGTCCCTTTATGCTGACACTCCCCAGTTCAGGGTGCAGGGGTTGTTCTTGAGGCGGATTGCAGGTCTGCTTGCTGTGGATTTAGGCTGATGATCTGGGCTAGGTGTGATTGTTGGGACAGCCAGCTGGACCCACTGCTGTGTGTCTCAATCTCCGGAGATGGCTCTGAGCAGGGACCTTCCTGCCGGTCACCTCATGCCATCCCATAATAGACACAGTCTGCTCTTTGGTTTCTCAGAGGTATTACCGCTCACAGTTTTGATACTGATTTTTTAAAATGCACCATCAGCCACTCAGAAAGTTTACAGAATTTGGGGCTTCAGGACACCAGCACAGTAAAGATGATTTAAACCTTCATTGACTTAAGTGACATTTGGTATTTTGCACAATGGCATTCACCACATAATTCCCCCTTAGTGTATTCATTGCCTTGCATTTAATGGAGATTGAGTTCCCATTACCCTTGAAGGCTTACATTACCCATCAGCTATAAAAAGATCGCTTCACAAGTCAGCGGCCTGTATCTCCGTACACAAAGCTCCGCTTGTCAGGGTTTTAAAAACGCGGTGGACTTCATGCTAGATGAAGCGCTTCTGAAGCTCAGCCTTTCAGAGCATAGATGCATGTTCTTGTTTATTCCCAGTAAGGATTGAATGTACAGGCTGATCCCAGAGGTCCCAGAGGGACAAGGTATGTAGCCTTTTCCTTACCGGGACAGTGGGAGTTAAGGCCCCCCCCCCCCGGGTATGTCTTCGATGTGACCCCCCTCTGCATCTCTCTGCTCCTCCCTAACATAAGGGAACAGAACAGGGCCACTTTCAGAATAGATGCTAAATTTCTGCATAAAAGAAACTGTTCTTATATTATCTTTGCTGAAGGCTGTTTAAAGTACGTTGCATTTAGATAAAGTCTGACTAAAGTTATTAATAGCATTTTTATTTTTCTGAAATGAACTACAAGGAGTTTCATTAGTGGGAACAAAAGGAGAGTAAGAACGTGGTGCCCAGTGTGGATTCCCTGGGTTTTCTTAGTGATGGTGGTTCACGGAATGTGTTTGTGAAGGATCATTCCTGCTCTGGTCTCTGATCAAGGTCCAGAGGATGAGTGTCACTGGCCTGGCAGTTGGTCCAATAGTGAGATCACATTCCATTAGGACGTCACCGCTTCAGTGCGCTGATCCCGGTGGTGCACTTATCTGTGACATTCTGCTGCGTAACGACCTCGTTATATTAATTCAGGTCTGTAACGATATGAGCGGACACCGTGAACGATGGATTGTTCTAGATGGAATCACGCTCACTGTATATAATGGAGGCCATGTCACGTGGTCGCTGACATCACTCCCTGTCATCTCTCTCCCATCCGAAGTAGCTTCATTTGAGGACAATGGCTCTTTCGACAAGCTGATTCGTTTTTACATTTATTGGAAGGAGTGTTCGCTTCTGAGGCGTGTCTGAAACAGCGGTAAAGTCAGAAATCAGGCTACCCCAGCGAGAGCCTGCCAGATAACAGGCATCTCAGATGCCTGCAAATGACCTTATCAAGCAGCACAGAAATTTACAGCCATGCAGCCCTGTCATCGCCCAGGTTATTGTGTTTCATTTTCCATCGACGTGGAAAGACATAGTGCCGGGTTCCTTCTGACGGCTGTCCTGCACACTCCCTGACAGACTGGTTCCTCCCACTCCTACCCCATAATAAAGCCTTTGGCTTCCAGGGAACTGAAAGTGGTGGTTTTCCACTGTGAAGGGAGTCTTTATCAGTTAATTCCGGTCCACGCCCAGGGAAGCGAGGTGTCTGCCTGGGCATCGGATGCGCTTACTGCCCGCCGCGTGCCATGCTAACCTTCAAACGGGACTCCGACCAGGTGTAGTGAACCCTGCTGTCTCTCTCCAGGGTTCTGCCTGGCAAAGGTTCTGCACAGAAGCAGAGACACATCAGGTAGGACCCACCCCCCTCAGCGGGGGGGGAGGACTGCTGCCTCCAACAGCTGTATTTGATGAGCTGTTTGATCACCGCTCGATCGCTGGATCCAGACCGATCCAGTCACTGTGAGGCTTTCATATGAGAGCATTAGAACAATTCCAGCGAAGCCCTGAATCAGACGGGTGGCCGTTCATAATGTGGACGCCTCACATCAAATACAGCCGTGGTTGTGGCTTCCTGTAGTGCTCTCTCTCTCTCTCTCCCTCTCTCTCTCGCTACCTCTCTCTCTCTAGTTGTAGTAGCAGCTAAACCATTGGCTTCCCTTTTGAATGTGGAGTTTACGTCGGGAGCTCAAGCAGGTCACGTGACCATGTGTGTGTAAGAGGTTATGCATGATTAAGCACCCTTCTGGAGGGAGACAGCAGGCCTAGGGGTGAGTCAAGGTCACACAGTACGTCAGTATGTCTGTGTAGATTGCAGTAGCTGTTCATGTTGTGTGTTTAATTAGTTTAATTAGTATATGTACAGTAATCATCACCCTGTAAACTCCATATTCTGGTCATGTGGTTCATTGTCACTTCCTGTTTACTGTGCGCTGCACACACTCCCGGCCTCCCCTTCCTGTCTCCTCCTGCCTTGCCTGTAGAAATAAAGAGGCCATGTCAGGACCCCACAGGCCCTGTGGAATTTCCATTTTCCATCACAGCCAAGAGAAGGTGCGCTCAAAGGGTTCAGCAGGGCGAAATTCCAGACGGCTTCCTGCCTTTCATGGCCCTTGGCTCCTGGATCGTGTTCAGCGGCAGAGCATGTGACCTGTCACACATGGTCACTCAAGTGTGGAAGACAGAAGCTCACGTCAGATCTTAGAGGTGGTGCTTTCAGTTGTCTGCTAAAGTTCCTCCCCTCTGGGGCATCAGTCCCCTCTCTGGTGTCCCAGAACATTTCCAGAACGTTCAGCTGGCGTCTGGATGGGATGTTTTTTCCCCTCCTGCTCTATCCCGCTGGTTCCGCCCTGTAGACGTGAAAACATTGTCATTTGCCACGTGCCTCACACTGCAGTTTTGTTTTGCTAATTCATGTAAATCAAAGCATATAAATGTCGTATTTCATTTGCCATGATTGATTTGCTGTTGCTTTGGAGTTTGGAGTGAGCTGTGTAAATTCCAGCGTGTCGATCGGCATCTAACAAGCGAAAAGCTGAGGAATTGTCTTGTGCCCTCTCAGGGTCACAGGGGACGCTGGCATTATTTTGAGCAGGGCTTGCCCCCCCCCCGCATGCTCCAGCGTCTCCACCCTCCCGTTCTGTCTGACCCCAGGGCAGCATAAGCTGTGGCGACCGTGATGCTTCACAGTCGATAATCTGATCTCGGTTCTCCGACTCCCGCGTCGAGTTGGAGGATGATGACTTGCGAATCAGCTTAGGCACGCAACAAGGGTTACCGTGGGAACACCTGTGTCTTGGGTTCCATGCCAACGTGCAAGCCGCTCCCAGTTACCTCGGTGTGTGGTATAAATGTACGTTTAGCTCGCATGAGGGCAGGGAGAGGAGGCCTTGTGGAAGTGGATTAGATATCTGACTATGCTTATAGCGCCCCCTTCAGTCAGCCATCACCTTGCTCTACTGAACTAGAGGAACCTCAATTCACATTCTGATTTCTGGGACATTCTCCAGTCTCTCTCTCTCTCTCCCTCCAAAGGTCGTTATAGACTAATTACCCCGTGTGAAGGGCTTCCTGATGCAGCCGTTCTGTTTCAAACAGGCAGCCGCTCCGTGGCTGTGTCAGAGATCATAGCCGTGCGAGAGACTGAGCCGGACAGCTGCCTGAAGGAGGATGGGAGATGGCAGAAGATGGCCCAGACGCATCCGTGTGCTTTCACAGGTATGGGGGGTGTGGTCTCTTTGGGGATGGAGCCCCTTCCTTTCAGCAACAGTGACAAGTGGCGCCCCCTGTCTTGTTGGCAGTGTCCTACGTGGAGCGAGGCAGCCAACACTGCTGGCGGTGTGTGGACGTGACCTTCCAATGCCCGGATGGGGCGCTGTGTCAGCGCTGGGTCCAGGCTATCAAGGAGCAGCTGTCCCTTCTGAGTACGTTCCTGTCCTCCTCCGTACGCCCAGTGACATTTTCAGGGAAGCGTGGCGCCGCTGTGGTTCAGTCATGACACCGAGCCTCTCTCCCTCACCCCCCCCCCACCCATGTGTTTTCACAGCCAGCCGACCGAAACGCCTGCTGGTCTATATTAATCCTTACGGCGGAAAGCGGCAGGGAAAGCGGATTTACGAGCAGAAGGTGGCCCCCCTCTTTGCGCGGGCCTCCATATCCACCGAGGTGATCGGTGGGTTTGCCTCCTTGGCGCACATTAGCATTTCGATGAGCGATGGGATTTTATGGATGCAAATCGATCCGGGAAGGCAAATGACCGAGCCCGGCCAACACGGCCAGGAATATGTTTTTATTTACTGCACGATTTGTCACAGGAATGCAATAATAGAAAGGGTGATGCTTGGTAAACACAGCATCGATCAGCCACACAAGCCTCTCTCTGCTGGCGTCTTGTGTAAGTGTGTGGAGCCTCTTCCCTGCCACACAGCCATGTCGCGGTTGAGACTCCCCAGGGCTGGGCCTGGCACTGTGTCACAGGACAGATGCACATGTATGACTGTGCCTGTGTCCATAGTTACGGAGCGGGCCAATCACGCCAGGGACCACCTGAACACCGAAGCTGACCTGAGGAGATACAGCGGGTAAGGCTACGCCAGCGCCACCAGGTGGCGGCTTAGGGGTGCCAAAACGTTAGTCAGTCGGGGTTAATCTCAGCGTAATGCGAACTCAGGAACCATCTCAGTGGTGTGCCGATCGGCACGTCCCCTTTCCTCACCAAACATCCTTACCAATGAGTTTGAACCACCAGCATTTAGAGTAAAATGAGTGTAAACATACTTGAAAGCGCTTCTTTAACCTCGAGTGACCCGGTGGACCGGATGAGTGCGCGGCGCCTAACAGAAGCTCTGCCCCCCCACCAGTGTTGTGTGCGTGGGAGGTGATGGCATGTTCAGCGAGGTCATTCATGGGCTGCTGGCCAGAACCCAGAGGGATGCCGGCGTGGACCAGAACTGTGCTGAGGAGAGCCTGGTGCCGTGCACTCTGCGGGTCGGCATCATCCCTGCAGGTGAAGCAGGGGGTTGGGTTCTGCTGATTTGAGGGACCGGGCCTGTCACCTGGGGTAACGCCCAGTCCCAGCAGCCGTCCCTGTAATGTATAATTAAATGTTTAATCTGCAGACTCAGTATCACTTACTGTTTTAAAAACAGGTTCGACCGACTGCATTTGCTATGCGACGGTGGGCATCAACGACCCAATCACATCAGCCCTGCACATCATCGTGGGTGAGTGAGCTCCCCACCCCCCTGTAGCTTTGGATCATGTGACATAGAGTCACCATGATAAACGCTGTTGATGCCTGTGAATGCCTCCGCAGGGGACTCCCAGCCCATGGATGTCTGCTCCATCCACCACAACAACACATTCCTCCGGTACTCCGTCTCCTTGCTCGGATATGGTTTCTACGGCGATGTCCTGGCAGACAGTGAAAGCAAGCAGTGGATGGGTCCAGCTAGATACGATATTTCAGGTGAGCCCTTGCGAGAAACATGTTCTGCATCATCACCTGCAGCACAGACCCTTCCCCCGCTCTGTCCCCAGCACTGACAGAGTCCCCTCCGTCCCCTTTGTCCCCTGGTGTCTCAGGCGTCAAGACGTTTCTGACACACAACTACTACGAAGGGACGGTATCGTTCCTGCCGGCGCAGAGCAGCCTGGGGAGTCCGCGGGACAAGACGAGATGCAGTGCCGGGTAATGACTCCCCGAGAGGCTCCCAGTCCCTCTCAGTCAGCTCAGGGGGACGTTTCCATAGTAACAGGGCCACGAGAGACAGACAGTCGTCCGGATTTATGTTCGGAGATGGCATTGTTGGAGGAGGGGTACACCTAGCTGCTGTGGGCAGTTCCGGAAACTGTCCTCGGTGTGACAGGGTGATGCCGGCGCTGACCTTTCACCCCTCATCCGCACAGGTGCTACGTGTGCCTGCACAGCGGGCAGCTTCACTCCCAGGACAGGCGGGCGTGTGAGGGGGACGAGGACGTCTCCGGCAGAGGTGAGGAGCAGGCATCGACACCACCGACATCAAAGCATCTCCAGTGAAAGCACTCGCACTCCCCCATGTCTAACCAGGACACCGAGTGCAGGCCCCGAATGGGGGGGGGGGGGTATTACCAGAGGCAGCACAAAACATCTTCCAGTCTCACAGGTCTGACACTTTGGGGGAAAGGGTGTCGCAGGGGTGCTGTTAAAATGCCTCGCGTTTCCTGTCACCAGGAAAAAGAGAAGCTGCTGTTTACAGAAAACAGATTGAACCCCCCCCCCCCCAACAGTAGCTTAGCACAGTGTTTCCTAACCTTTTTTCTTCCATAAGGTAGCGTTTTCCAGCTTAGGAAGCCCCCTTCCTGTGGGTCAGAGCTGGTGGCAGCCAGGGGGGTGGCGGGTGCAGCATCCATGTCCAAGCATCAGTAGATGCCAGCTTTAGCTGTTCATTACTGAGCATGGAAACCTCAAACCAGGACCATTTGATCTTTGGTCTGTGACTATTCATCCGATTTCCGGTCACAGTCAGGGTCGGGGGGGGGGGGGGGGGGGGCTGGAGCCTGTCCCAGGCAGCACAATCCACATACATGCAAGCCTGTCGGGGGTTGTGAGTGAGCACACGATGGGTTACCTTCTGCTTCATGTTGGGGACGGGTCAGTCACCCTCTCTTGCTGTGTCGGGGGTGTTAAGGGAGTGTGTGGCTGACCTCCCTCTTGTTGTGTCCCGCAGAGGACGACGGTGCCGGGGGCTGGCAGGTGCTCCGGGGGAAGTTCTTGGCCATTAACTCAGCCAGTATGAGCTGTGCGTGCCCCCGCAGCCCCAAGGGCCTGTCCCCCGCCGCACACCTAGCCGACGGCACGGCCGACCTCATCCTCGTCCGCAAGTGCTCCCGCCTCAACTTCCTGCGGCATCTGCTGCGTCACACCAGCAAGGATGACCAGGTGGGTGGTGCCTGAAGATGGGGGGGGGGTCATCAGGGAAGCTCAGGGTGTTCAAGGGGCTGCGGGAGACGAGAGGTGATGAAAGGAAAGGACAGTTAGGGCGGAAGAATGGTTTCATGATATATATACAGGTGGTGCATCTCAGGCAAGGGACCTGAGCATTCCGAGTGGCTGTGTGCACGTGACAGACGTGTTCCTAACCTGGGTATCGCGTGCTGGGTCTCCTTAGTTTGATCTGGACTTCGTGGAGGTGCACCGCGTGCGCCGCTTCCGCTTCACGCCCAGGCACTGCGAGAGTGAGCTGGATCTAAAGGAGCACGGCAAGACACTGTTTGGCCACATCTGCAGGGACCACCCGGCCTGCGGCTGCACCGCGCTCAATAGCAGCTGGAACTGCGACGGCGAGATCCTGCAGCAAGCCGCCATTGACGTCGGGTATGCCTGCCTGCCCCGCCTGCCCTGCCTGCCCCGCCCGTCCCCGTGCTTCAGCCTCACCTGCCTCCGGACATCATACCTGTCACATGACCTGCAGGACCTATGTCCTGGTGGTCCTGCCCAGGGGTCCGTCTTGTAGCATCTGGAGATGATGGCCTTGGTGCTACCCATGAGGCAGTGCAGTCTGGTGATGTCACGCAGAGAAACCCAGAGAAATAGAGACACCTTGGTTCAAGGTACAGATATGTGAATGAGAGAGAGGCAGGTGGGGGAGGCGCTGCAGCCTGTCTCAGAACCTCACCTTGTGAGCCCCACCCACCGTCGTCTCCGTGTAAACTCTGCAATGCTGTAATCAGTGGGTGAAGAATGACTTCATTATGTAACTGTTTGCCAGTGAATCTGACTGCCTGATGCATCGTTGCAGCAAATCCTTGAATCACGACGTCATCAGTGCAGAAGCAGACAATCGTCCTTCGTCTACATAACCCCTTTCCATGCGTTAATGGCTGTCTTTAATTAAACACAGTGACCACTGGTGGCATTTTTATTATCTACAGTAATTGTGTCTGAGGTGACTTACCGATCACGTTTGCAGAACTACTAGGAGTCACTGATCCTGAATGACACACTAGTGTAAACACAGCTGACTGTGTAGACCTCAGTCAGAGTTTCAGCAGCAGAGCCCCTTCAGGGTGCTGGTTTTTAACCAGTGCACCCCCTTCTGTCTCTCCAGGGTGCACTGCCAGCTGATCAGGCTGTTTGCTCGTGGGATCGAGGAGCCGGTCATCACTGAGGACATGCGCGGCCTGAATGCAGTGTGACGTAGAGAGCACGTCTCCATCAGAGCGCTGTTGGACACCAGGGGCCTGGGGCGAGGCCACCCACCCCCCCTGCCCACCTCGGGTGGCTATTTTGCTGCCTGCCTGCTTGTTCCATATGGCGAGTGTGGATTTTCAGAGACATCGGTTTGGTACACTGGCAATGTGGTCTGTGGGAATGTTCTGGGATAACGAAGGATTTTTGGGCAGGGGTCCTGAGGTTCAGTTTGTGTGTATTCCCCCCCCCCCCCCTCACGGCTTTCTCATTAAAGGGTGTATTGGGGAAGTTACAAAAGTAATCCATTAGAGACAGAGGTGGAAAGCTCAGGTCCAGAAAATACAAATCCAGACCAAGGTTTTGTTACAACCAACCTGTTGAGCATAAAGAGTCACAATCACAGAGTACTCAACTTACTGGTTAAAACAAAACCTTGGTCTGGATTTGTACTTTCTTGACCTGAACTTTCCACCTGTCTGTAATGGATTACTTTTCCACTTTCCCACTTTCCCACTTTCCCAACCCTATTAAAGTGAAACTCACACTCCTTAACATGCCCACCCGGACCATTCTTCTGATGCTGGTGATAATGTACTGTAGAATAAACAGCGTCCTTTATTTACACTTACTGACACGCAAAACAAGCAGCAATGAGCCGGAGAGCCTGTGCATGAGCATGTGTGAGCGTGTGTCTGCGTGTGTTGCCGTGCACCCGGGCTGCTGTAATCGCGTCCTGTTCAGGCGTCTCACATGCACAACCTTTGCCAAAATGCTACCTGTATGTAAATAGATCTGGGGGTTGTGCATCAGTGACTGTGTGCGCTGGTGAATTCTGCCTGGAGAGGATGCTGTAGAGTCACCCTCAGGCTTTCGTATAAGAGTGTGAACCATTTCCCTGTCATTTGAAGGCATTGTGCATCGTTCCTGTTTTCTAATCATTATTTGCTGGGTTGCACTGCTGTTACTGCATCCACGGCTTCCAGGAGATGTAGGCGGTATGACCTTGAGCAGTTAAGCTGGTCTTACTGTAGTTGGAGGACCTTGTGGATTTGGTGGATTCCGCGATCCAGCCAGTGACTGACCGCGCAGTGATCCGGCTCCCAGACTTTGGCCTGGCGCCGAGCGGGATATCGCGGGCACGTTATCCCGGCCTGGACAGGGCATTCCAAGCAAGTCTGGTCACTCTATAGAGGCAGCCAGGAATTCTGCTGAGCTGTCTTGGATGATGATTGACGAGGCTTGTCACTTTCATCAAGCTCTCTGTGGAGGGCAGACATAATGTGTATCTGACTTTTATGCAACGTTTATCTAACGTTTCTGCTGCAGATTCATATCGTAAGCTTGAAAATCCACTAAGCAGAATCCAGACAGGAGCCCTTCATGGTTTCATTTCCATGTTTTTTTTTTTTTTGTTTGTTTTTTTAATCTCAGAATATTTTTGAAGATGTAATTTACTGCCGCTATGCCAAAGACGTATTTTAAATAGCTGTTTGACTTGATAGGGTATCTGCTGTCAGCTTGAATATACTGTAGCATTGAGGTTTTGAGCTGCACCTGCTATAGTGGATGGACTGACCGGCCTGGTGCGTCTGATCCCCCTAAAGGGAACACAGCATTAGCATCACAAATTAAATGAATGCAGCATGCATTCCTGCCAACATCAGCCACTGGAGAAAAGGAAGAACTATATCATTCATGTGTATTGGAAGCTTAGCTCACAGTTTGGAGTTTGGATTTAGATGTAGAGGAGCGGGAATGACTTTCCGGTGTCGCGTCAGTCACATTCCCAGCTGCCTAAGGTCCTTGACCCCGATTCCCGGCTCACTACAGAGCACGTCGCTGTAGCAGCTTTCACCAGCAGGGTTTGCCCTCATGAACAGCAAACGTCGAAGCTCACTGTGTGAATCAGCTGCTGCATGGGGGCACAAATCCGCATTCCTGTGGCTGCTCGGCCATGTGGGCCGGGCATCTGGGGCCAGCAGGGGGCGTGTGTATCCAGCAGGTCCTGCTTCTTTGTAGACCTTTCGTCTCTTCTGAAAGATTCTATTGTTCCTGTTGCGTCCATTTGTATTCCTGTTCTGTTAGCTTTCCGCTGTCAGCACCTTTGTCTCTGGGAAAAGTCAGCTGAATTTTGGCAGTAGGTAGATTAGAAATGGCGTCTCAGGTCACCGCACATATGAATGACTCCAAATGTCTTAAATTATTCTTCTCTGAATTAGGCCGTCTGGCTGATCAGGCCTGTCACAGTGTCAGCCTTCCGCGTGTCACAGGACCCCAGAGGTCGTCGAAGGAGGTTTGTAAATCCAGCTGCATGCCTGCTGGGAGGACGGGGCTGGGTGGTGCTGTTGCCGTTAGAAGCACATCTGGCCGGGTGGCATCAGGGGAGGCTGAGGCGCTGCCTAGCAGATGTTCTCCGTACCCTTCAGCTGGTCTGACGCCATCACTCCTGCTCTCCACTAGATGCCACCTTAATGACATATAAATGTGTATTTTTGACATTCTGAAGCTAATGGGGAGGCCAGTCCTTGATAAATCCATCAGTAGTGTTGGCTGACCCTGGTGGGGTGGAGGTCCTGCAGATTTCTGGATGGCTGTGTAACAGACCTGTGTTGTCCTTTTGAACTGGTTAAATAAAGAATGTGTAAATGCACATCTGTGACTCTTCCTGTGGTCCTTCTCCCCAGAGTTATTCAGCCTCTGGTTCTTCAGAAACATTTCCCAGCTTTCCTCTTTCCCTGGATTAAGTCCACACCTCCATAGCCTTAGGAAACAACCTGCGCCACACACTAACCTGTCACTGGATTCGACCCGGGACCTGTGAAAGGGCAGCGTAGCTCCCCGAGCCTCTACATTATAGCGTATGAGGACACACTGTGACACTCTCTGCACCCACTCGCCTGCATACTCTGTTAGTGGGTCCATTCAGTGCTCAGGCCAGGAGAGCAGCAGTCACATGATCGCTCACATGCTGGAGGATTCAGACATTAACAGAATGTCAGCCAGTGATGGCAGTATCAGCAGCTGCTGTGTGGAAATGATCACTCAGGAATGTACGGTTTATACTGTCTAAGGTTACCCGGCACCAGCGGATCACCAAAGGCAGACGTGCATGTCAGATGTGGTGGTTTGGGGCCCCTGTTCTAAGTGACTCCAGAAGATTGTGGCTCACTCCAGCTCACCCGACACCCGTTCTGCCCTGCTGCTCCCTGTTGCCACTATACGGCCAGCTGAGAGCCACCGTCATTCTCCCATCTGCCTCAGGGGAGTAAATTCCGTCTCCTGCTTCTGGGCCATGCACTGCAGTATTTGCCGGCCGATTAATCATGTGCCTTGCAGGTGAGTCATCGAGACTGACCCTCAGCTCAGGGATGGAGGTTAAGGAAGTCAAAAATGAAACCAGCTAGCCGGTCGTTCATGGTGTTCCAATGGTCGAGTGTCTGAGCAGTGAACCCGTCCCTTTCTGAGGATCCATCTGCATAATTCCAGCCATAGATATAGAAGTGCAGCTGCTTTGGACATCCCCTCTAGTCACTCTATATCAATGATCGACTCCCTGGCCCCTTTAAGGGATCTCCTCCAAAATGCCCAGGAGGCGGTGAGACCTACAGGCCCTTAAGTAACACTTTCCGGTGCTCCGAGCCAGTCATTAGGGTGGCTCTGAGCTGCCGTGGATACGGGCAGCAAATCGGGACACATAACAGCGGGCTTCTCTCCATCATGCGCCAGCATCGATTTCCTCGCTAATGAACTTGTCAGCCACAACAAACCGTCTCTCTGAAGAATCAGTCAAGAAAACATATCTTCAGCGGGAGTGAGTTTTAATGCAAAACTCACATAAGAACAACCTGCTGAGAATCAGGGAGGTGTATATATAGAGCCTTGATGGTGATGGTCCATTAAGCAGCAGGTACAGCACAGAGTTAATCAAACACATGATGAAAAGCCAGGTAGAAAACAGCCAAGCAGGTGGGAAGGAGCTGGACCCCCGCTGCGTTAAGCTCAGGAATGCGGGGCACTGCTGCTGCCTAAGCCTCGATCTGGCAGACAGCAATGCAATTCCAGCCACACCAGGCAAATCCTTACAGCGGCAGCACCAGGTCAGTCCGGGAACAGGACAGGAAACCCTCCACACATCTGATGTCACTGGTAACGTGCGACAGATGGCTCTCCTCGGCTTTCGAAGGGGGATTTCTCAGTCAGGTGTCACAGGTCACATTATTGTACAGCAGTGTTTCCCAGTCCGGTCCTCAGGGCCCCACAGACAGTCTCCATTTTTGCTCCCTCCCAGCTCCTGACTGTGTGGGTCCCCGAGGACAGCACTGGGAAACACTGCTGTACAGAACTGTACGGCTCCTTTCGCACATTTGTATTTATTCCTTGTACATAGTAAGACACTTCATTATTAAGTTTTATTTATGAGTTTTATTTTTATTCTCTAACATGTCAATTATACAGTCATGTGTCACTCAATCTCCTTCGACATAGCATCCAAGGTCCCATAAGGGTAAAACAGAGTTGAAAAATCCTGATTGGCTAATGAGACACAGCAGATGTAAGTGGCCATATTGCACCATGTGTACTTGCCGTAAACAAAGCGACTGCCCTGTCGGCCGTATAATGGCACAGTCCATATCTACCTTATAATACCCATAATCAGGCACAGAGTGGGGCTCATTTTCAGCCCAGGGGTTTTATGCACAGGACCAGTCCGTTTTGTCTTCGTTCTGGGGGGAACTTTGATAAATGATGCCACAGTTCAAGTCTTATTATCCCGATAAATTTATTACTGACATTTCAAGAAGAAAATTGAAAAGAATATTGAACTGTTCAAGCAGCTTGACTTTTTCAGCCCCGCCTGGTCCACATCCATCGTTTGAGAAACCTCCAGTGATCAGCAATAGCAAGAGATTAGTTGTGGCACTGCAACTGCGCACTGCGCTCACTCAGTTCTAAATGGTGACCTGTCACATACACGCGTGTGCCGCATCTTTTCGTGTTCCTCTAGGTAGGGCAATCGTGGTCGATAGCGTGTGCACAGGCATGAGAAAACTTGCTGGTTAACATTCTGAAGCACTGCTGAAGATTTTTTAAGTTGTAAAATTATTTTGTTTCTGACCGGCACAACAGCTTAGCCGTCTGTCGGGAATTTTCCAGGGTCTCCCGATTGGCTACTCCAGGCCAGCCCATAATACTTGATAACGATGACATGCATTTTACACATTTATGTATTTGCTTTACAGTAATTTTATCATTATTTTGGTGCGTAGTCTCTCATTTAAAGTATCTTGGCAATTTAGGCAGTCCAAGTACAGTATGATGTATAAGGTTGTATACAGTGTATATGATGCTGGCATAGCGTCCAAGTCGCCTAGTGTCCTATCGGACAGAACGTAACAGAGATATTAAGCAACGTATACCTGTTCACTTGCTGCTGAAACACCTGAATTTCCCTCCAGGGATGAATAAAATATCTCTCTATTTGCACTGTATTTAAAGGGTTCCACAGCAAGCTGTAAATTGAGATGATGGTTCAGGCATCCCAGCACAGAACCTGCTCCAAATGAGGCACTGTTGCTGCTGGTTTCAAATCAGCCTCCACAGAGCAGCCAGCAGGAGGTGCCGTGGGGCCGTCATCTAACATGGGTTAAGGAGGCAAAACTGAGCTCCACTTGGCCCACGAGACTCGTTAAGCTGCATGCCTAACGATGCTCAGACTAATTATACACTCCCCCCTACGGGACCCATCATCCCAAGTCTGATGCTCAAAAATTCTCCAGGGCTTCACGCCAAACAACACGATTCACCATGTCACGTTTGCTGACTCAGGAGCTGCCAGACAAATTCACATCACAGAGTCTGTGGCTAATCTACCAGAAAACAGATCCGGCTAAGAAAACAGGAACCACGTTCCTGGACATGATAGCCTGATGAGAGTAGGTGGCAACCTACACAGACCAATATCAATCAATCAATCAATCTTTATTTAAATAACACTTTTAACCACTGAGTTTACAAAGTGCTTACAATAGCACTTATCGTTTACAATAGTGGACAGCAACTGGAGTCGCGTAGTGCAACAAGGCACCAGGCACAGCAAATTTGCTGAACCTGGGTCCTAGAGGAGCTTGGACCCAACACTGCATCACGCTGCACTGGTTATGCATCAAAGCAGCTAATCTGATGGTCTCATGCTCAGAGGTCATGGACTGATAACCAGAGATCAGATCTTTGTCCTGCTGTGAGAATAATGATCACATGTTTCCACGAGGCCAAAGGGGAAAATGGATAAACCCAAAGAGTCTGTCGGTTGCCCCCTCCAGCAGCCTCTTGGCACGTCGGTGTTTACAGGAGGCCCTATCACAACAGGCTGTCATAATCATGGGGGGCATGAATATAATGAGGATGGATGTACTCACAGAAGGGCACACTCACGGAAAGGTATACTCACAGGATGGTGTACTCACAGAAGGGCATACTCTATGGCGTTTAATTAATCTCAGAACTTGCGCACATAAAAACCATGTATGCGTATGCTCTCCCATCCTCTCCACGCTAAATTAGTCTCAAAACCCAAGACCACGCACACAGAAAACCCATCCTCTCTACAGTCTCACGCTCGATGGGCCCTCTCTACGTGCTTGCGTCTGCAGAACACTCACTCGCTCCACAGGGTCAGTTTTGAGACTTTGGATGCGGGAGCAGTGGCTGAAAGATGATCCTTGACCAGTCGATGCAAGAAGTCTTACACTAAGTTAGCACCTTTCAGAGATCCTATTTTAATATTGCACGTTCAAAGTGGTAATCGGAATCTGATGTCTGTGTGTACTTAAGGCAGCGCTTGAAATTCAGCGAAGGATTGCTGGTATTTCCCCCATCCTCTTAATGTATATAAAAATCACTGCAGAATAGGCCACCGTACAGTAAATTTCATAGTGAAGAATAAGGCATCTTTCTTCTTACAACATCACTGAACCAGATTAAATCCTGGGAGCAGCACTCCCCTGATACTAGCGATATCTCTGGGTAGTATTACCGACGATAAGTTGAGTTAATATCGCACTCTCAGTTCACATTGACAAGGTAATGTTGTCAAAGTGCACAGCAATTATATGTATCCTTTTTTGTTTGGAGTATAGAGCATCTGTACAGAATGTGCAAATGGAATATTCATAGGATTAAGCATGTTGTGACATGCAAAGTATTCATAGATAGATGAAGTCGGAAAAATATTGCTGGTACTCCCCTTATTCACGTTGATCAACTGGTATTACATTCTGAATCATATATGTATGATTCTGATTACCACCTTGAACGTGCAATATTAAAATAGGATTTCCGAAAGATGTTCACTTAGTGTAAGACTTCCTTGCTCCAAGATCATGACAGAGTGTGAAACTGGCTGTTCATCTTCTTCTTCCAAAGTAAACAGCCAATCACAGGATTCAAAGTAACCAGTCAACAAAGTGGAGAAATCAGCCACTGTTCCCGCCTCCAAAGTCTCAAAACTCAACCTGTGGAGCGAGTGAGTGTTGTGCAGATGCATGCATGTAGAGAGGGCCCAGCAAGCACGCAGAGAATTTTTATTTTTTAGAATTTAGGGATCAATTGTCATTGTTGATACACCACAGCACACAACAATGAAATGTGTCC